AATAGTAAATATATATTTTTGTAATTAATTTACATTAAAAATATAATAATTGATTTTTATTTTAATATAATTAGCACATGTAAAATTTTAATTGACTAACTAAATAAATGAAAGTTAACATTTATATTTTTCATACAATTTAATTACAAAAAAGTGTTAACCATTTGTTAATAATCAATCATCAATAACAAATAGGCAGTCATAATATTCATGCTTTGTAATCGATTATTGAGAGGCACTTATTGTGTGCTGTTAATTCCAACAATGACTTAATAATTCTTCCATTAACTTCGAGTAATTGAGATTTAATGGAAGGACTTAATCGAGGAGATGAAAAACATTTCAGGGACAATTGCATATTTTCGGAGCTAAATAAATGATAACTTTTAACTTTTTCAAAAATACAAAGTACTGGTTGTTCTATCAATCCTAAATTTTGAAATGAAATGATGTTAAGTTATTGTAATGGAAGAAATTTAATAAAAGGAAAAACCAATTATGTAGGGATGATTGTTGTTAAGTCAATTATATATCCGAATTGCATATATTCGTCTAATCAAATTTTATGCTTGCTTCATATATAATATAAAGATTAGTGCTTTAAAAAAAATACTCAAAACTACATCATTTTAAATTTAAAGCACTCAAAACTACATCATTTTAAAAGTAATACAAAAAAATTTAAAAAAAGTCTTGCTTTAAAAATTAAGATATTTTAATTTATCTCAATAAAATATATTAAAATAATATAATTTTAAGGTATTTTTTCACTTAATATTTTACAAGTTTGATTGGTAAAATTTATTGAATAAGATGTGGATTAGAGGTACTTACAAATTACATAATCGGGCACATAATCGGGCACATTTTCGAGACATTTGCCATCTGTAGAGATATATGGGTGCCCTGCATAAACAAAATTAGCCGACGGTAAGGAAAAACCAGTTAGGTACGGATGATTGTCGTTAAAATAATATTGTTTGCTAGTAGTGATCATTAGCATTTGGTTGGTGACAACAATTATATCTCTCAGTTGCATTCATTTAAATCAAACTAGCATTATCAAACCTGCTTGCAGGTTGTTGAGATGTATATTTATCTTTTAAAAGAAGAAAAAATTATTATTAAAAATAAATAATAACATATAAAAAAAATGTAATATACATAATTAGTTTATGAATATTATAATAAGTTTAAAAAATCTTTTAATACTCTATAATAAAAATATGTAAAACTAGAATTATTTTATCAAATT